CCTCTCCTCCTCCTCCTCCTCCTCCTCCTCCTCCTCCTCCTCCTCCTCCTCCTCCTCCTCCTCCTCCTCCTCCTCCCCCTCCCCCTCCTCCGCCTCCCCCCCGAGCGACGAAGCGACGAGTCAGGACAGAGGTTGAGCTCTTCGGCCCACGGGTCTTCTTCGCCAGGCCACTGGCCATAGTCAGCACTGGGTTCACCATGGTTTGCATCAACGGCAGCGCACGCAGCGACGGGGGGGGGCGCTCTTTCATCCCCGACATCTCCCTCCAGGTCTAGAGGCTGCTCAACCTGGGGCTGAAAGTTGCCCCCGAGCACGGAGAATTGTTTGAGACGTCCGCTTATCAACAGTAGTTTGATGTTGGGTTTGGCTACGCGGTTTAGACTGACTAGGTTTGGATCCCGCAGCGGGGGCAACAGAGGGCCTCGGGACCTGAGGGAGCTCGCGTGGGGCTTCCATCACCCGCGCGACCAGCTGTTCCTTAGATCCGCGGAGGGCCAAGTGGAGCCCGATGTCATGAGGACCCCACCGAACAGGAACAGCAGGCCTGAGCTCTAATATGAATGGCCTCGCCGCCATGCTACACAGTGCGCGGTCGATGTGCGTCCCCGCCGCCAGGTTACAAGTGGCTGCGGCGTCGGCTTGAAAGATCACCCCTTTCCGAGCTTTTTCACGAGGCCAGTTTGTTGTGACTCCTGCGCGCTCATGTTCCAATCCCCGATGATTGCCCTTTGGGAGCTGAAGTGCGTGCAGAAAGCCTGCGAGACGACGAACATGTCCAATGTCCAGGCCGCGCATGCCTCAACTCGAATGCGTGCAGAACATCACATCCGTCTGCCTCTGCCTCCACGGCCTTCACGGCCTCTGCCGCGCCGAGGCAGAGAGCCTCGGGCAGCGGGTCCTTGATAGGAGGAAACGCGAGGCGAGTGCCCCCGAACTTGGAGAGTTCGGCGAGGATTAACTCGTTTGCGCAGGCGCCGGCGGGCGGCGCGGGCGTCGAGCCTGCTGCCGCCGCTGCCGCTGCCGCTTCCAGTCGTTGTAGTCAGTCGGGATGATGAACTCAGACTCATCGGTACGAGCGCAGGAGGAGGAGGAGGAGGAGGAGGAGGAGGAGGAGGAGGAGGAGGAGGAGGAGGAGGAGGAGGAGGAGGAGGAGGAGGGGGAGGAGAAGGAGAGGAGGAGGAGGAGGAGGAGGGGAGGAGGAGAGGAGGAGGAGGAGGAGGAGGAGGAGGAGGAGGAGGAGGTCGTCTCGGCGTCCTGCCTGTGCGCCTCCACCTGCGGGGGCCGCTCGCGAACTTCGCTCTCTCTGGAGAGCCTTGCCGCCCCTGCGGCTCCGCAGCCTCTGGCGGACCTCCTCCAGGCCTTGCTCCCCTGCTGCGTCACAGTCCCAGACTCGAAGAAGAGGAGGAGGAGGAGGAGGAGGAGGAGGAGGAGGAGGAGGAAGAGGAGGAGGAAGAGGAGGGAAAGGAGGGAGGAGGAGGAGGAGGAGGAGGAGGAGGAGGAGGAGGAGGAGGAGTGTGAAGGTCGTCGATGGGCCCCGAAGAACTCCTGGCCCCATACCACCGTGAACTGCTTCGCCTCGTCGCCTGCGGCCGCGCCGGCAGCGGCGGGCTTGGCGTCGGCCTGCGCCCCAGCGCACTCGGCGCGAGCAGGGGGCGAGCGCAGCTGCGCGCCGCGCCCGCGAAACCGCCGCCAATGCCTCGGCCGCCTCCTGCCCCTTGAGCTCGGCAGTCTCGATGGCCTTCTGCAGCCTTGCGAGGTTGGAGACCGCCTGGCTGCGCGCGTGATCAGCATCGCGATCTGCGCCGTCAGCGCGTTGAAGGAGCTCGACCTCGGAGGCCGCGACCTTGCCCTCGGTGTGGAGGGCCTCCTCTTCGAGCTTCCTCGCCTGCGCCCGCAGCGAGGTCCTCAGCTCCTCGTTGTCGGCCGCCTCCGCTGCACGCTGGAGAAGGGAGGCCATTGGCTCATGGCCCGTGTCCTTGTGCGGCGGGCCTCAACCGAATGACGCAACCCGTGATATAAACAGAAAAACTCGGCACCCGGCGCCCCCCCGCGGGCGGCCACGGCCCTATCGTCGCCTCCGAGACGAAGCCGCCTGCTGGGCCGCGCGCGTGGAGAGCAGCACCGGCGCATGCGTGGACGTCGGTCCAGCAGCAAGCAGCAGCGAAGGGGGAGGCCCCGAGGGGCACAAGGGCGAGCGACGGGCCTCTTCGGCCACTCCCGCGCTTGCCGCGCCCCTTCCCACCCGGGGCGGGAGACTGGCTGCGCGAGCGGAGCATCCCGCTCGGGCGCGCGAGCGGGCCGTCCTCCTCGATGTCTTCAGCGACAAAGTGAACTGCACAGCTGCGAGGTTTGAACAGCTTGATGCTTGCCTCGCATCCCATGCAGACGCACACCTGCTCGAGAAGCACCTCGCTGTACTCGCACTTACTGCGCGACCTTCAGCGCGTCCACGTGCGAGTGCCAATCATTGCTTCAGAAATCGGGAATCGCTTCTCCCCTGCACTGACTGGTCGGTGCCACACTGTTGCTCGGCGGGAAGTGCGGGCAAAATCCTTCAAGCGTTTCGGGGAAACTCAGGAGAATGAGCCCCGCCAAAATGGTTCGGGCCCAAGTGGCTTGAGTTGGGGCGTTAGGGGGGGGGGTCGAGCGGAACCGCGGGGGGGGAATCGACTGAGGCCGTTTCTGACGGCAACGGCGGGGCCGGTTGTGGGAGGACGGAAATGAGCGTGGGGGAAGTCGACGGCGACCCACTTTCGGGAATCCAGTCGGCTCGCGGGGGTGGCCCTGGGGCGGCGCTCAGCTGCCTGGACACACGCACGCACGCAGACGTGCGCCGAGCTGCCGTCGCAGCAAATGCATCACGGCCCACAGCCCCGCCGCGCCTCACGCTGGCGCAGGTGGCGAGGCAGGGCTGGACGCAGAAGCCGACCGCGACGCAGAGGGTGAGCCTGAGGGCGGGTCTGAGCGGCCGCCGCCAGAGCCGAACGCGTCGCCGTCGGGGCGAGCAACGCCTCCCCCCCTCTTCCCCTGCTGCTGCTGCTGCTGCTGCTGCTGCTGCTGCTGCTGCTGCTGCTGCTGCTGCTGCTGCTGCTGCTGCTGCTCGTGCCGATGCCGCCGACTCGAGTCTCCGTGCCGAGGTCGCTGAGGGTCGGGAGCACGAGCTCGTGGCCAGATTCCGGTTTGTCGTCTGCCGGCGTGGCGGAGCCTGTATGTTTCGCGGGGACAGGAGGCTCCCCCATCCCACCCGAGTGCACCCCGCCCACAGGGAAAGGCGGCGGAGGCGCAACCGTCTCTGGCTGCAAAGGTTATACCCGTCCACGGGTGCACACCTGAGCGCCAGCCTCGGCGGCCCCTAAGGACTGCCTGGGGCCTGCTGGCTTTGGCGTGGTGGGTGTCTCGGTGCCCTGGGGCGGCCGGAAGTCCTGGAATCCGGCGCTTGTGCGTACACCTGTGGCGGGCTTTGGTCGCGGGTGGTTCTGAGTGGGCTGGTTGCAGATGCGGGGGGAAGTGGCATTCGGCCGAGTATGGGCACCGTTGTTGTCGGGGGTCGACGTCTTCCCGACGTCGAGGGCGGATGCGTGCCGCGTCGGCCTTGGTGCGGTCGGAACGGCGGTCGAGGGGGGTACCGAGCCCTCAGGCGTGGAGCAGGGTGGCGAGGAAAAGGCTTCAGGACAGGTTGCCTGGGTCGGCGGACCCGCGTGGATGAGGTAGCCGTTCTGGGACTGACCGGTGACTCCTTCCCGTTGGAGTCCAGAAGGTTGGAGGGCCCTCACCGGATGATGTCGCGGTAGGGACTCGTGCTGGCCACGTGGAGCAGCCAGCTGGAGACCGGGGCTGGAGGAGGAGGAGGAGGAGGAGGAGGAGGAGGAGGAGGAGGAGGAGGAGGAGGAGGAGGAGGAGGAGGAGGAGGCGGAGGAGGAGGAGGAGGAGGAGGAGGAGGACGAGGAGGAGAACCGCCGAGTTGGTCGCGCAGGAAGCGGCGAGGGAGACCCGCGCGCGCTCGATCCTCGCGAACGGGGGTGCGGCTCTCCCGCGCTTTTCCCGTGCACGTGCTCGGTCTTCGGCTCGGCGGCGGTCTTCGTCGCTGCATCTCCAGACGACGGTGTGTCGTCGAGGAGGTAGACGGCGCCGAGTTCGGCATCACGAAGGATTGCAAAACGAAGGATTTTGCAATCCTTCGTTGCAATCCTTGGGTTTTTTTGTGCAATCCTTCGGCCACACACTCTTTTGCCCCAACGCGCCGCTGGGTGACAGACGGCGGTGAACCACCAGCATGCGGGCCGCGCTCTGCAGCGATGGTCCGCCTCTGTGGGCACGTGCATCTGATCGAAAACCTCGGCGAGAGCCAGGCATTGCTGGCCGCCGATGTACACACACATACACACACACACACACGCGGGCGGGCGGTTACGCGCCCAGCGTCGCGGTGGTCTCAAACATTGTGCAGCACGCGGGAAGCGGACAGGGGAATACACACACAGAGAGACACACACACGCACACACACACACACACACACACACACACACACACACACACACACACACACACACACACACACGCACGGCTTGTAGTCCATAGGGGATTTCATTTGCGGCCCCACGCGGGGGCGTCCGAATGCGGTCGCCCCGCCACACTTTTGGCACTTCGCACACGGATCGTGTCCGCATGTGGTTGCCCCGCTCGTTCCTTCGCGCGGCCCGTCCATTTGCTACACGCAGTTGCATCGAGCTGGTTTTTGCTGCCAGCTCACCATGCCACTCTTCGCGTCCGGGCGCCCCCCAACCGTCACCCAGTGGCGTCGGAGGCATCGCCCGGCCCGACTGGCCCAGACGGCGCGGCAACTGCGCAGCTACAGCGCACGCGCGTCAGACGCTGCGCGCCCGCGTTGAGGCCCACCCTCCAACCCTCCAATCCAGGACGCCCGAACTCCCATTCCCCCTCCCAGCCCCAGCCTGGGCCCCAGAGCTCCCAATCTCATCCACCTCGCCCTTCTGCGGAGGTGCACAACGCCAAGAGGGACGTGACCCTCACCGTGGAGAAGAGCGAGCTCAACGTGATCGAAGAACTGCGGAGCCTGAGGCGCACATGCGGCTCCTCGAGCGGACCGACGCGTGGCAGCTAATGCTCGGCGCAGGCCAGGCCTCCGCGCGCAGTAGTTACGGTAGGTTCGTGTCGTGTCGACCGGCGGCGACCCCGCCCGCCAGCGGCGTTCATCTTTGAACGCCGCGGGTGACCCAGAATCGCTCGATGTGGAACGATGTGGACGTTTCGGAACTGGCCGATCGTCCAAGGTTGAACGATCCCCGCGGTGCCAGAAACCAGCGCAGAAGTCGGCACGACACGAACCTGACGTACAGTCGGGGCCCTGAAGAAGGAACCCGTTTCGTTGGGGAGGGGCTCCGCGTTCCTTGAGTGTTTCACAGCTCGCCTCAGGCTTCCCTTATGGCTTCGGCAGGAAAATCGAAGGTTAACTTATGGAAAAAAGGGGCCTCGTTCCTTATTTAGGGTTCCTTAGGTCAACGCAGGTGTCGGCACGACACGAACCTGACGTATGCTCCAGGTGGCAGCCGCGCCGCGCGCCGTTGCGCGCAGCCGGGCGTCTGCTGTCACGCCGCTGGCGCTGCGAAGCGGGCGCACGGGCAGCGAGCTCCTCCCGCCGGGCCCGCAGGCCAGCCGACTGTCCTGTTGAGGGGGCAGGCGGCCCTTCTCGCGCGTGTCCCGCCACGAAGGACAGGCCAGCCACAACTGGGGGAGCTGTGGTCCTTACCCCCCTGGGGGAGCTGTGGTCCTTACCCCCCCGTCGATGCGATGGGTTCCCGCAGGGGGGTAAGGACCACAGCTCCCCCAGTTATGGCTGGTCGGAAGGAGGGGGAGTCCTGAGCCAGGCGATCGCAAACATGGATCAAGGGGTCGTGGATAAGCGACGGGCCCCGTTTCCATGGGAGATCGCGGAGTGTCGCCGCCAAGCGGGGCGGCACCGGCCGCATTTTGGGGAGGGCGCCTCCCCCGATCCATGGATTTGGCGACCGCGCGCCAAATCCACGGATCGCTAATCCATGTTTGCGCGCCCCCGGGGGGGTCCTGAGGGAAACGGGTCCTGGGGTCATACCGGCAGCCCACATAGCAAGCAGGAGCGACTTTCCAAGGTTACCCTTGCACCCTCCTTCTTCGGTCCATCCCTGGCCGCTTTCGCTGGCCGCGCCCCGCTCGCATGGTGTCGCCATGGCCTTCCAAGGCCCTCGCATCCCGATCGCGCGTCCTTATCGTACGGGCTGCCTTTCTGCCGCCTGTGTGAAGGGGCCCAGGGACACACAAATAAATACACACAACTAATTAACAGGATTCCCCATATTTTCCCATACTTTCTGGGTTCTTGTCTTCCCCCCCACTTCCCATATTCTCCCATATTTTCTGGGAGTCGACGATTCATTCTGTCTGTGCTTTTTTCCCCTCCTGACTGTGGCCTCTCGCTCCCCAGCCCCAGGGGCCGTCGAAAGGCTGGGTCAAAGGCCCGTCTCGGGGGCAGCCTCGAGGTCCAGGCTCTGGCTCCGTCACGGCACCTTCCCTCCACGCCAGACGCCGGGGTGAAAGCTCCTCGCCGTGGCTCGCCGCTCCCTGTCCATCCCAGTGCCCCTCTCTACCAATCACTCTTCCGTCCTCTCTCTCTCCTCGCGGTTGCTCCTCCGCTTCCTCCTCCTCGTCCCGGTGCCGCCCATGCTCAGAATTCGAAGCTCTCTCGCCACCCGTGCTCCTTTTGGATGCGGTCCCTGTGGCAACAAACAGAGGACGACGGCTTGCTACTGCGCCTCCTCCTGTTATCCTCCTACTCCTCCTCGCCAGCGAGCATGTATGCCCCTCCCCTCTCATCCTCCTCCTTCTCTCCCCCCTCCTCCTCCTCCTCCTCCTCCTCCTCCTCCTCCTCCTCCTCCTCCTCCTCCTTCTCCTCCTGCCTCTCCTACCTGTGGCAGTGGTGGTGGGAGATCGGCCCATCAACTCCTCCTCCTCCTCCTCCTCCACCACCTCCTCCTCCTCCTCCTCCTCCGCCTCCTCCTCCTCCTCCGCTCCTCCTCCTCCTCCTCCTCCTCCTCCTCCTCCTCCTCCTCCTCCTCCTCCTCCTCCTCCTCCCCCTCCCCCCCGATCCAAGAGGAGGGGGGAGGTCGGCGGCGGGCGAGGGGGGGGAAGTGAGAAGGAGATGGAAGGTCTTCTCAGAGGACGGCGGGACTCCGTGGCAGCCCTCGCGCCTTCTGCGAGATGGGTGTTTGTCTTCGGGGAGGGCTTCGAAAACTTCTCTGAAGGCCGGGGTACTTCCGAGCCTTCTGAGAAGTGCTTGGTCTTCGGGGAGGGCTTCGACAACTTCTCTGAAGGCCGGGGTGACTTCCGAGCTTTCTGAGAGGTGCTTTGTCTTCGGGGAGGGCTTCGAAAACTTCTCAGAAGGCTGGGGTACTTCCGAGCCTTCTGAGAAGTGCTTTGTCTTCGGGGAAGGCTTCGAAAACTTCTCTGAAGGCAGGGGTACTTTCGAGCCTTCTGAGAAGTGCTTTGTCTTCGGGGAGGGCTTCGAACACTTCTCACAAGGCCGGGGGACTTCCGAGCCTTCTGAGAAGGCCTTGTCCTTTTCCGTTCCCCCCCTCGCTCGCCGCCAAGATGGGGTCTGGGTGAGCGGTTGGGCCACTCGAATAGTGTTTATGATGCCTACAGCGCTAAGGTGAAGTGGGCGTAGCATCTTGTGTGTAGCGATGTGCTGCATGGTGGTACAAGTAGATCGAATGGCATCCCCGCTTAGGCCTCCCATCGCCAGCGCAGACGTCACATGCCTAGCCGCCGACGCAGAAGTGTGTAGCGATGTGCTGATGTGCCCTTGCCCGTAACGCTGTAGTTCGTGATCTTCTCCGGCTTCAGGCAATCTGGTCTCGCCTTCGTAAGTCGAGTGCATGCACCGTGCCGTTGCTAAGCGTTCAGGTGAAGGACGCCGCGTCCCCGACGCGAGCGTATTTCATATCGGTCTGATCGACCAAGGCATCATAATCAAAGTCACGCTGTGCCCACTCGTTATCTACGAAGCCGTAGCCGTAGCGGCGGTTGGCCCACTTGACGCGCCCTGTTAGCACTTCTGGTGGCCATGTTCGTACTTCTGGTGGACCTCGTAGCCCGTAGCTCTGCTTGCGGCCCTCGTAGCGCGGCATCAGCTGGTGGCTCTCGCAGTTCAGCCGGTGGACCTCGTAGCCCTGCGTGCAGCTCTTGTAGCCCGGTTTGTAGTCTTCGTTGCTCTGTTGGTAGCCCTCGTGGCTGAAGTGGAGGTTCTCGTAGTCAGCCTGCGGCTCTCGTAGCTGAGGAGGTGGCCCTGGTAGCTCCTCAGGTAGCTCTCGCAGCTCAGCTGGTGCCTCTGGTAGCCTCTGGTAGCTCAGCTGGTGGCCCTCGTAGCTCTGCTAGTGGTTCTCGTAGCTCAGCTGGTGGCCCGCGTCGTGCAGCTGGTGGTTCTCGCTGCACTTCTCGCGGCCCTTCTAGCTGATCTTGCGGCCTGCGTAGCTCAGCTGGTGGTCCTCGTAGCCCCGCGGTCCCCGTAGCTTTGCTGGTGGCTCTCGCAGCTGTGCCCGTGGTCCTCGTAGTTCAGCTGGTGGTCCTCGGAGGTCCGCTGGTGGCCCTGTGGCAGCTCTGCTTGTGGCTGCAGGAGCTCTGCCTGTTGCCCTCGAGTCGCAGTTTGTGGCCCTCGCAGCTTGTCAGGTGGGCCTCGTGGCGCTGTCTGTGGCTCTCGCAGCTCTGCTCGTGGCCCTCGCAGCTCAGCTGGTGGCCCTCGTGGCTGCTCAGCTGGTGGCCCTCGTGGCTGCTCAGCTGGTGGTCCTCGCAGCCCTGCCTGTGGCTCTCGTAGCTTAGCTCGCGGTCCTCGTAGCACAGCTTCTGGCTCTCGCAGCTCTGCTGGTAGCTCTCGTAGCTCAGCAGGTGGGCCTTGGAGTTCTTCTGGTGGATCTCGTAGCTGTGCTCGTGGCCCTCGTAGCTCAGCCTGTGGTCATCGAGGGCCCCCCGTAGATCTGCTGTTAGCCCGCGTCATTCAGGCTGTGGCCCTCGTAGCTCGGCTGGTGGGCCTCGCAGCTCGGCTCGTGGTCCTCGCAACTCCGCTCGTGGCCCTCGTGGCTCAGCTCGTGGCCCTCGTGGCCCAGCCGGCGGTCCTCGCAGCTCTGCCGGTGGCTCTCGTGGCTCAGCGGGGCAGGTGGCCCTCGTAGCTCCGTGTCGTCCTCTTCCCGTCCTCTGCCTTCAGGCGGTGCTCGTCGCATGGTGGTCCTTGTCGGCGGAAAGAGAGGGGGGGAATTGAGAAGGAGAAGGCCTTCTCAGAAGGCGGCGGGACTTCTCAGAAGCCCTCGCGCCTTCTGAGAAGCGTTTTCTGTCTTCGGGGAAGGCTTAGAAAACTTCTCAGAAGTCCAGGGGACTTCCGAGCCTTCTGAGAAGGTACGCCCCTTCTCACTTCCCCCCCTGGCTCGCCGCCTACCTTGTGAATCAAGAGGTGCTGACCGGAGATCCACAGGTGGCCCTCGTGGCTCAGCTGGTGGGTCTGCCTGTGGCCCTGCCGGTAGTTCCCGGAAGCTCTGCCGGCCCTCGTAGCTCCTGCAGCGGCCCTCGCAGCCCAGGTGGCGGTACTCGTCGCTCAGCTGGTGGCTCTCGTTGCCCTGCCGGCCTCTCGCAGACGGTCGTCGACCACGTAGTGGTGGTCGTACTGGTCGTACTGGTGGTCGTACTGGTGGTCGTACTGGTGGTCGTACTGGTGGTCGTACTGGTGGTCGTACTGGTGGTCGTACTGGTGGTCGTACTGGTCGTACTGGTCGTATTGGTCGCAGTCGTAGTCGGCGTAAGCGGCATTGCTGGGTCCAACGGCATCTCCACGATGATATTTGTGTGTCGTACTTGGTGTCGTGCTTTGTGTCGTACTCGCTGTCGCACCTGGACGCCATCGCGGGGGCGGCCGTGGCAATGACAATGATATCGTCGGATCGAGGTTTTATCCCCAGTCTGAGGTCTGTACCCCACTCGTCTTCGGGCCTTGTCTGTTCGCGCCCGTACTCCTCTATGCGTGCATGGTCTCGGTATGATTGCCAGTGGGTCTCCACCAGGGATGTTAGGTCGCGTAGCAGTTGTAGCCGCGGTTGATCACCGTTCCGTGGTACGCGCGCCGTCCGCCTTCGACGGCGCGGCGGTGCGCTGAGGCCGGCACCCCCGAGGGCGGCCGCGCGGGCGGGGCGCGATGCCGGGAGCGAGTGCGGGCGATAGAGTTCCCGCAAGCGGCCTTGTTCTTCCTCCTCCTCCTCCTCCTTCTCCTCCTCCTCCTCCTCCTCTTCCTCCTCTTCCTATTCATCCTCCTCTTCCTCCTCCTCTGCCTATTCATCCTCCTCTGTGCCTACCCTGCTCTTCGCATCCCCCCTACCCTGATATGCTTCTGTTGGTTTGACGAGCCAACAAGTGCACCATGTATCTCCAGGGGCACCGTCAGCGCTGTGTTCCGCGAAGCGCCCGGAGTGGTGATATCCAAGTTCACTATCCACCCCCACCTGCCCCTTTTGATAGCATATCGTTACTTGGTTGCTCGATGATATACCTTGGCTGTTCCTTCTTCATATCTTCTCCGCCTCCTCCTTCTCCTCCGCCTCTGCTTCTGTTTCCTCCTCCACCTGATCCTCTTCCTTCTTCGTCGTCGGCATCATCATACCCAACACCGACATGATCATCATCACCCGCATCATGTCATCCTCCTCCCGAAGGCATGCCCATAGTCCATGCGCGCTGCCGCTGCCGTGGCGGGCGGCCGCTGCCAAAACCGGGCTCCGCCGCCCAGCCGTGGGCTCGCGGCGGTCGGCACCCTGAGCATTTGTCGCCTCCCGAAGCCGCTGCGTTTCTCCTTCGTGGCTCGTTCAACTGCAACCCCTCCAGTTCCTCGTCTTCCTCCTCTTTTTCCCCCCCTCCTCCACCTCCTCCTCCTCCCTCCTCTCCCTCCTCCTCCTGTTTTGCCCTTCCTCCCTCCCTCTCTCCTGCTCCTCCTCCTCTTCCTCCTCCTCCGCCGCCTTCATTCTTTGTCCTTATTGATCTATGGTCGCCCCCCCCCCCCCCAGGCACCCAAGACGCGTCGACAGGGCGGGCGGAGCGTTTTGCTTGCAAAATGTGCAACAGCGCCACGGATGGAGGGCGGTGGTTTCCAAAACATGGCCATCGCCCCAGCACCGCGCACTTTCCCTCGCAAAAGCTTGCAAGAACGTCGCGGATGGAAGGCGCGTGGTTTTCAGCATGTCGTTTCCGCTTTCCCGCCGCGCACGTTCTTGTAAAAGTTTGCAGGAGCTCCACAGATGAGGGGCGGTACCTGATCGACATGTGGGTCTCGCCATAGCGCCGCTGTCAGGGCGCAACAGTTACGGTGATTCGCGGTGCTGAATTTCCAAGAATGGCGTTCTGGAGCGATCCAGGACCGACAGGACACAGCGGTAGCGTTGAGACGCGGCGTGGAAGTCCCAGGAATTCTGTTCTGGCACAATTCCAGATTCTCAGACGGGTGTTTTCCCACGGGGCGTTCCTCTCAGGGGAAATTGTCCTTTGTAGGGACCTATAAAGAGGGAGCTTTGGGGAGGGTTTATATTTCAACATCGTTGATGAGTCTTGGGTTTACACTGGTCCTCCTCCTCCTCCTCCCCCTCCTCCTCCTCCTCCTCCTCCTCCTCCTCCTCCTCCTCCTCCTCCTCCTCCTCCTCCTCCCCCTCCCCCTCAGCCTCAGCCTCAGCCTCATCCTCATCCTCGTCGTCATCCTCATCCTCATCCTCATCCTCATCCTCATCCCTCCCCGCCTCCTCACTCCTCCTCCCTCCCTCCTCCCTCCTCGCGCTGGCTGCAAGAGAGCCGCGCGCACGCCTCGCCCGCCGCGCCGCCCGCGGGCTCCCGGGTCCCGTCGCGCCGCGAGCGGGGGCTCCCGCATGTCCCTGCGGCCGCGACGGGGTCGCCCATGGACGTGAGGCGGCCCTCCTCCTCCCCCATCCTCCTATCCTCCTCCTCCTCCTCCTCCTCCTCCTCCTCCCCATCCTCCTCCTCCTCCTCCTCCTCCTCTCCTCCTCCTCCTCCTCCTCCTCCTCCTCCCTCCTCCTCCTCCTCCTCCTCCTCCTCCTCCTCCTCCTCCTCTCCTCCTCCTCACCTCCTCCTCCTCCTCCTCCTCCTCCTCCTCCTCCTCCTCCTCCTCCTCCTCTCCCCCTGCCGCGGCTGCCAGCAGCGCCGCCCGGCGCCGACGACGGCGACGCCGTGTCGTCTCGGAGGTCTCTGGGCGCGTCTGGGGTTCCTCCTCGCCGCGGCTGGACGTTGCGTCTCGGAGGTCCTCTTTGGGCGTTTCTGGAGGGTCTCGTCGCCACGGCTGGACGTGTCGTCTCGGAGGTCCTTTTTGGGCGTTTCTGGAGGTTCTCGTCGCCACGACTGGACGTGTTTCGTCTCGGAGGTAATTGGGGGCGTTTCTTGACGTTTTCGTCGCCGCGGCGGGGCACAGCTTGAAGAGCTGGCCAGGGTGGACCCTGGGAGGGGTCCCGGGATGGGTTTTGAACGAGTTTTGACAGACCGTCGTCGTCGTCGTCGTCGTCGTCGTCGTCGTCGTCGTCGTCGTCGTCGTCGTCGTCGTCGTCCTCGTCCTCGTCCTCGTCCTCGTCCTCGTCCTCGTCCTCGTCCTCGTCCTCGTCCTCGTCGTGGTCGTCGTCGTCGTCGTCGTCGTCGTCGTCGTCGTCGTCGTCGTCGTCGTCGTCGTCGGATCGGAGCTCTTGGGAGTGAGTGTCTGGTCACTGTCGGGCCTCCAGAGGCCTCCGCGGGAGCCTCCGGAGGCCTCCTCCCCTCCTCCACGAGGGCGGTCGGCAACAACGGCGACGCGAGCCCGCAGTCCAGGCACGAGCAGCAGCGCTTCGAGGAGCGCGGAGACGCGCGAGCGCTGCGAGCGGCGCGGAGCAACAGGTGATTCAGGGAGGGAGGAGCAGGGCTCGAGCCGCACGGTGTGTGGTCGATTTCGTGGGCCCTTCTCGTTTCGATCTCGCTTTGCAGCAGGAAGGTGGAACGAAGACAGAAAAAGGGCAAACGAACACAAACCGAAAACCATAATCACTGTTCAGCTCGAGCCCTGGGGAGGAGGCGGAGGAGGAGGAGGAGGAGGAGGAGGAGGAGGAGGAGGAGGAGGAGCATCAACTACCTAAGATGTGCTGGCCATGTTTTGCCCCCCCCCCCCCCCCCCCCCCGCGAGCGAGCCTGAGCAGACCCGAAGGTGCCCGCAGGGCCCCGGAGGCCAAGAGGGGGACTCGCGAGGGAGGGACGAGCCAAGAGGGGGACCCGCGAGGGAGGGACGGCAGGGCAGCAGGCACGTCGTCCCCTCCGCCCCCTCGCCTGTTGCTGAGCACCCTCTCCGCCCTCGCCCCCTCCAGCAGGGCGGGACCGCGCGACGACGCCGCGGCCGAGCCCGCGCGGCCCGGGCCGAGCCGATCGTGCGACCGGCAGGGGTGTGGCCATCGACGGGGCGGGACGGACGAAAGGGAGGAGAAGGAGGAGGAGGAGCCCGCGCGGCCCGGGCCGAGCCGATCGTGCGACCGGCAGGGGTGTGGCCATCGACGGGGCGGGACGGACGAAAGGGAGGAGAAGGAGGAGGAGGAGGGGAGGAGGGGAGGAGGAGGAGGAGGTGGGTGAGGAGGAGGAGGAGGAGGGAGGAGGTAGGAGGAGGAGGAGGAGGAGGAGGAGGAGGAGGAGGAGGAGGGAGGAGGAGGAGGAGGGAGGAGGAATATAGGAGAGAGGAGGAGGAGGAGGAGGAGCAGGAAGAGGAGGAGGAGGATGAGGAGCATAATGATGACGACGACGACGACGACGAGGAGGAGGAGGAGGAGGAGGAGGACGAGGAGGATCGAGCCCCGGAAGTCTGGACCCTGTCTCCGTGGCCGCCGTCTCCTCCCGAGAGTCCTTTCTGGAGGGCCCGCGGGGCGCGAAGGCGGCCGCCCGCACGTGGGGAACGGCGGGGGGAGGTATCGTGCCAGTGTTGGCCAAGACGCCGGGTTCGCACAAAGGGTTGCCGATATTGAGGCGAAGCCAACGTCGAAGAAGACAACACGCCATAAACCTAAACTTTTGGCGCTCCGCGCGGTCTTCTTGGATCCGCGCTAGGCCCCCCTTGGCGGCGCCTCCAGCGCCGCCCCTGGCGCGCTCCGCGCGCCAGGGAGGAGGGTCTGGCGCTAATCCAAGAAATCTGCGCGGAGCGCCACAAGTTTATGCTTATGGCGTTTTTGTTCGTCTCCTACCCCTACAACTATTCATGTGTGTTGCTTTGTGTTCTGACGATGTCGGCGGGAGGGCGCCACCGAAAGACAAGCATGTTCTTGGTTGCGAGGTGCCAGCGATATCGCCGGGGGGGGGCCGGGGGGGGGGTATTGCTTGCTTCCTGGGGTTAGCATGCTGGTGTTTGACGAGACGTTGGATGTCTGGGGGGGAGCGCCTTCCAGGAGGTCTTTGCACATTGAACTTGGTCCGTTCAACGATGCTCCCTGAACGCATGCACTTTTCCGTTCTACGCTTGCGGATCAGAAGATTTGCTAGCATTGTTGGGAGTCTTCGTTGCGATCAGACCACAGCACACCAGAGGATTTATCAACCAAGCATGGCCGCGAGGAGTGACCTCTGGTGCGTTTCCATTGGGGTCCCCCGACCGCTTAGCGCGCAGCGGAGGCAGCGGCTTTCGCGCCCAGGTTTGGCCACCCCGCGACCCCCGTTAAGCTGCACACCAAAGGCCACTTTCACCGATTCCCATGAGAACTATTGAGAAGATGCGTTCAGTTTCGTCGACCCCAGGTTCTGCTGAAGAAAATGAAGAATCTGAACTGGACCCTGGGCGTTTTCTTGGAGCTTCTTTTCTTCGTGGACTGTTCGTATATCTGGACCGGGACTACTGTCCAAGAAAACGCTTGGAGTAATGCCCATCTTCTTAGCGTAAGATGGGTATCCGTTGACCCCCCCCTTCCCTCCTCCCTTCTCTTCTCCCTCCCTCCCTCCCTCCTTTCCTCCTCCTCCTCCTCGTCCTCCTCCTCCTCCTCCTCCTCCGATTCCTCCCCCTCCTCCTAAGTTTCCTCCTCTGTCCTCCTCCTCAGCCTCGTTCTCTTCGTCGTCCTCCTCTTCTTCCCCCTCCTCCTCCTCCGGCCCCCCTGGGGTCTCCGTTGGAGGAGGAGGGCCTCCCAGGAGTGCGGGCTGTGCGCGCTGCGCAACGTGCTGAAGCCACACGGAGGCCCGAGACGCCGCTTCTCGCCTCTCCGCTCCTCGCTGTCCCCCCGCTCCTGCTCTGGTTTTCCTGATGCTGCTGCTGCTGCTGCTGCTGCTGCTGCTGCTGCTCCTCCTCCTCCTCCTCCTCCTCCTCCTCCTCCTCCTCCTCCTCCTCCTCCTCCTCCGCCCTCCTGCCCCGTGCCTCCTGCTCCTGCTCCGCCTCCTTCGTCGGCGGCAAGGGGAAATGAGAAGGAGAAGGCCTTCTCAGAAGGCGGAGGGACTTACGAAGCCCTCGCGCCTTCTGAGAGGTTTTCTGTGCCTTCTGGGAAGGCTTGGACAACTTGTCGGAAAGCCAGGGCACGTCCGAGCCCTCTGAGAAGGCCCGCCGATTCTAACGTCCCCTGGGCTCGCCGCCGATCCTCGTCATTCATGCATCCTCCCGCATACATCCATCCTCCATCCACCCCGCTCTCGTCCCTCTCTCCTGACGCTGACGCTGCAGGCGGGTGATCCACGATGGGAGCAGCTCTCGACCCCGTGGCGCACACATCCTTGAATGGTCCGGCGGTTGTGACGGAGCACCGTGTTGACACTGATTGTCGCCAGAGGGCCGAGGGAGCACAGACTCCGCCACGTCCGCAACGTGCCACCAAGTCCCAGAGGGCCATGCCAGCCTGGCAGCAACTCCTGAAGCTGGGAGTAGTGCTTCGAGGAGCGTGGCGCCTCTGCTCCACGGAGTGCCAACCTGACACGGGAGGCCGCAACACGTAGCAACGTGGCTAGCTTCCCCATGCCTTGGCGGGGGGGCAGCTCCCAGGCCCATCCCTCCCTCCCTCCCTCCCTCCCTCCCTCCCTCCCTCCCTCCCTACCTCCCCTCCCGCCGGCCAACGAGAGCCTCCAGGAATGGACCCGGAAACCCCACGAGTCCCGCCAGGCCTCGGGGCGGCGGAGCGGCCGGGGCCCACCGTGATATGCTTGCGCGTCACCACACTCAGGAGGGAAAAAACACACAGACACAATGAGTCGGCGATTCCCCAGAACATGTGGGAAAGATATGGGAAGTGGGTGGGGGGGAGACAAACACCCAGAAAACACGGGAAGATATGGGGCATTTTTTTTTTGTTTGTGTGTTTTTACTTGTGTGTGCTTGTGGGCCCCTTCGCGCGCCTCGTGTGTGGGGGGCGGCGGCTGCCAAGGACGGGACTCGGGGGCACGGGTCGAGGACGGCAGGCCCCAAGGAGGGGCAGGCCGCCCGAGAGCCTCCGAGGCAGAGGCGGCAGCGCGGCGGCGCCCGACGACGACGACGACGACGACGACGACGACGGCGACGACGACGACGACGACGGCGACGGCGACGACGACGACGACGACGACGACGGCGACGACGACGACGACGACGACGACCACGACGACGACGACGACGACGACGACGACGACGACGACGACGACGGCGACGGCGACGACGGCGACGGCGACGGCGACGGCGACGGCGACGGCGACGGCGACGGCGACGGCGACGGCGACTCGCTCGGAGGCGGGGAGCTGCCCACGTGGGCCCTGCTGCAGCAGGACGCCCGCGAGATCGAGGACCCGGCTGCGGGCGCGGCCTCCGTGGCGGCGGCGAAGAGTCTGCGATCTGCCCCCGCCCCCGGAAGGGGAAGGGGGGGGGGGCGAGGGGGGAGGGGGGGGGGGAGGGGGGGAGGGGGAGAGGGGAGGGGAGGGGTTGGGGGAGGGGGAGGGGGTGGGGGAGGGGGGGAGAGGGGGAGAATCGGGGGTGGACAGACCTCCCACCCTGACACGTCGATTAGTGCATTGTCCGTTTTCGATTCTCGAGAGGGCGCCGCGGCCGTCATTTTCCAATCTTGCGCCCGCCAGGTTTGGGCCCGAGGTCGTTTTCACTAAACCACGTTTTACTAAAGGGAGGTCGGTCCATCCCCGAGAGAATCGTAGCGAGCCTGAGGACAAGGAGGAGGGGAAGAGAAGGCTCGGAGGCGGAGGGAGGGCGAGGGAGGGGGGATGGGAGGGGCGGGCCCACCTCCTCTTCGGGGGTAGCAGGGGCACGGGGCAGGAGGGGAGTGCCGGAGTGGCGCATTCCCCGCATAAGTTTGCTGTCCATCCAGGAGGGTGAGGACGCCCTGCTGACCGAGGCGCGCGACCCCTGGACTTCCAGGGGCCCAGGGCAGACCCAAGAACAGACCTTGGGCCGAGTGCTGCTCCCGCTCCTGCATCCTCCTCCTTCCCTCGGCCCCTTATCCCTCCGCCCTCTCCCCTCCTCCCCCGTCCTCCGCCCATCCTCTCGACCCACTTCCATCATCCATCCGCCTTCCTCCCTCTGCCCGCCTCCCATCGCGTCCTGCTTCCATCATCCCTCCTGGTGTTTCCTTCGCTGCCGCCTCCTAATCCGTAGCGTCTTCATCCTGAGCGAGTCCTCCCCTCCTCTTCCTCCTCCTCATCCTCCTCCTCCTCCTCCTCCTCCTCCTCCTCCTCCTCCTCCTCTTTCTCCTTCTCCTCCTCCTCCTAGTTCTCATCCTCCGATTCCTCCTCGTCCTCCTTCTCGTCTTCCTCCTCATCATCCTCCTCATCCTCCTCATCCTCATTCTCATCCTCATCCTCCTCCGAGTCCCCCTTTTCCTCCTCCTCCTCCTCCTCCTCCTCTTCCTCCTCCTGGTACTCCTCGTCCTCCTCCTCCCGCCCTTCTCCTCCGCGGCCCCACCCCCACCCTCGCATCACTGCTCCTCACTCCTCCTCCACCGCATCCTCCTCTTCCGATGGCTCTGATGGTCGCATCCTCTGTGCTGCTGTCCTGCTACCTCCACCTCTTCGGGGTGCAGCCCGACGAGTGGAGGTCCAGGGGTCCTGGGGCGAGGTGGAGTGCTGCAGGCAAGTGTACAGGAGCCTCGGGGGGGAGAAACAAAAACATGCCCGCACATACTCGCACATCCCGGGGACGGGTGGGCAAGGAGGAGGGAGCGGCAGAGATGGAGAAGGGAGAGTGGGGGATCATAGGAGGAGGGGGAGGCGGAACAGGAGGAGGAGGAGGAGGAGGAGGAGGAGGAGGAGGAGGAGGAGGAGGAGGAGGAGGAGGAAGGGAGAGTGGGGATCATAGGAGGGAGGAGGTCCAGGAGGAGGAGGAGGAGGAGGAGAGGAGGAGGAGGAGGAGGAGGAGGAAGGGGGAGTGGGGGATCATAGGAGGAGGAGGAGGAGGAACAGGAGGAGGAGGAGGAGGAGGAGGAGGGGAGGAGAAGGAGGAGGAAGGAGAGAGTGGGGGAGGAGGAGGAGGAGGAGGAGGAGGAGGAGGAAGGAGGAGGAGGAGGAGAAGGAGGGGGAGAGGCAGTCGCGACATGCGGGGACCCCCCCCTGGCGCCTGCTTCGTGTCCAAACGCGGTCCGTCGTTATATGTTAACATATAACCTCCGCAAGTATGACATATAACTCGAGCAACCAGGGATATAAGCCCCGTGAGTGGGTGCAATTAAATGCAAGTCAACTCAATTGCGGTCATACTTGTAACTATCATGTATCCAGATGCGCCACATGTAACCGCACATGAAATCACATGCCAAATCAACTTAAGACCGCGCAAAAGATAGAACTGCATGCATTCATTCACAACTTGCGCTGTAACAAGTTGTGAGAAGTTATGTTGGCTTATGTAAACATAACAGCACTTACAACGCAACTATTTTAATGTATGTGATGCCCCCCCCCCATGCTCGACGTGCAACCCGCCTCCTCTCTCGCCCTCTCCCTCCTCTTCTTCATCTTCCATCCTCCTCCTCTCGGTAGCAACGTCAGACACGTCGTCGCCAACGCCGCCACCCCGACGTCAGAATCGTCGCTACCACGTCCGTTCCAGGGAAGGGGGCCTCGCTCTCTCTCTCTCTCTCTCTCTTTCTCTCTCGCTCCCTCTCTCTCTCTCTCTCTCACTCCCTTCTCCCGCTCCCACCATCAGCTGCGCCTGTTTCCGCATAGAGATAGGGAGAGAGAGAGAGAGAGAGAGAGAGAGAGAGAGAGAGAGAGAGAGAGAGAGAGAGAGAGAGAGAGAGAGTGAGAGAGAGAGAGGGAGCGGGAGCGGGAGAAGGAGAGGGAGAGGAAGAGGGAGGGGATCTGGAGGACCTCCGCGGGGCATGCTCAGGGCCTTGGGGGCCATGGTGGAGGAAAACACTGGATGGTGGCAGTTGGTTGGCGCCTTCAGGTATTAAGGTCCGAGTTGTGCACGTTGGCACCCACCCTGCGGCCGTCTTCGTTGGCCGAGGGGCCGTAGGGAGGGCCTCGCCCCCCCCCCCTGGTGCCAATTTGCGGCTGGCAGCATGCCTATTGGCGCCATAGGGCTCTCGAGGGGCTGGTTGGCTTGCTCTGCTTGGGCTCGACTTGGGGACGCCCTGGCTATATCGGAGGCCTCTGGGGCTGCATTGGGGCCCTCTCGGGCCGTCGTGGGGCCGCATTGGGGCCATCTTGGGCGCGCCTTGGCCCCCCATGGTGCTTCTGATGGGCCTCGGAGGCTCTCCAGGCAGCATCTGGGGCTTTGTTTGGAACGGTGCCCTCGCGCGCGCTGTGGCCAGAATTGTAGTGCAAATGACGTCGGGCTCCAGCTTCGCCCCCCGCGCCTCGCTGAGCACGGACAGCGCCCGCAGCTGAGCGCGAGCGACGTGGGATCGCGCCCATCCGACCCCGAATTACACTTGGAAGAGGGGGCGATGACGCCCGTCACACCGCGGCGGCGAGCGGCGACGTGGTAGATTGAAGGAGCATAGAGAAAGAGAGAGAGAGAGAGAGAGAGAGAGGGAGAGAGAGAGGGAGAGGGAGAGGGAGAGAGAGAGAGAGAGAGAGAGAGAGAAAGAAAGAGAGAGAGAGAGAGAGAGAGAGCGAGAGAGAGAGAGGGAGGGGGGAGAGATATAGACATACAGAGGAGAGAGAAGATACATATAGAGAGAGGGAGGGTGTGGGGAATATCTATATATATAGAGAGAGAGAGGTGTGTGTATATATAGAGAGAGAGAGGGAAAGAGAGAGAGAGAGAGAGGCAGGAGGAGGAGGAGGGGGAGGGAGGAGAGGAAGACGGAGACGAGAAGGATGGAGGGAGGATGAGGATGAGGAGGGAAGGGGAAGGGGTGGGCGAAGCAGGCAGGCGATGAGTTTTTCTCGCCATGTGTAGTTAGACGCGCGCCTGCCGCGCGACTATCGTCGATGGGAAATGGTGGGGGCAGAGCCGCCTGAGCTGCAATCTGATTGTGCGGGCACCCATTGCAATCGACAGTCCTCGGGTTAGGAAAACCTCGAATACCTAACAGAGAGGGGCCAACAGCTCGCCCTACATCACGCCATGCATCTGGGAGGAACCAAATCGAACGTATATATTGCAGGGAAATGTCACCGCAGCATCCCCGCCTCCTGTCATTCTGACTGGGCCATCACTTGCCGTCCTTCACATGCTGGACCAAGGCCCTCCACGATTTCCTGGCATCGATTTTCCAGCTGAAGGCGGAGTCGACCCTCTGGCCGTTGCGCAGAACACGCCACTTCATGGCTGGAACCGCCGCGTAGAACCGCATGGCCGTTGACACGGCCCACAGTGCCTGGACATCCGCGAGCTCTTACGAGGCATGGTCCGCGCGATGGGTGCGCCGACATTGGGGGCGGTGGCTAGAGATCCCTCCTGTGCCCTGCCACGTACTTTCCATGCGCCAAGTGCGCGTGCAGTATATACCTTACATTGTTATGTGTAAACAGGGCGTCGGGCACTGCCGAAGGCTGTGGTATTTTGTACCCGCCAAAAACGAGGGGCGCCACGGGCTTGGTCGGCACGCCAGGGAAGCGCAAGGCAGACGCCGAGGCTACGATCACGGGGGGTGGCTTCGATTTGTTCGCCTTCATTGGAGACGGGGTCGTTTTGATTATCACCTTTTTCGTCTTCATCGGGGTCTTCGTCTTCATAGCCTTCATAGGGGTCTTTTTGGTTGCTGCCGCCTTCATGGGGGGTTTGCCCTTGCCATTTCCGATCACGTCGCCGAAGTGCTCGAGCATCTCGTCCACGGATGCCACAGGCGCCCCCGCAGCCGCCGCCGCCCCCGCGCCTGAGGATTGGGCGACGAAATCTATACATATCCACTGCTCCCTGACCATGCCCATCTTGAACCCAGGAGCTGTGCATGCGCCCTCCTGGCCAAGCCAGGAGGGCGCGGCGCATGCACCGCTGCGGGGTTGAGGATGGGCCTGGCCAGGGAGCAGTGGATATGTATAGATTTTGTCGCCCTATGAGGAGGGCAAGGGGGTCATCCTCCCCCATCCTCACCGACATCCTCCCCCCCGTCCTCCTCCTCAGCCTCTCTCCCCACCCTCCTCGCCCTTCTCGCCCTCCTCATCCTCCCCCAACCCCCACCATCACCCCCCCCCCGTCTGCTTGAAAACGCGCCTCCGCCCGTCGGCGCGGCCGCCGTTGCTGGCGCAGAGGCGCCCGTCGGCGAGGCTGCCGCCGCTGGCGCAGAGGCGCCCGTCGGCGAAGCTGCCGCCGCTGGCGGCAAACCGTCTGGGCCCCCGCCGCCGACGCCGCCGCTCGGGCTCGTTGGCGGCGCGGGGAGCATGTGCTGCACCGCGGGCATCCACGACCCCATCGGCGTCGGCCTGGGATGCCCATAGATGCGCAGGCCTGGGATTGAACCCGCGTCGCCACGATCGAACGCGAACATCTGCTGCGCCGCGGCGTCGAGCTGCCTCGCCCCGCGCGGCTGCCTGACGACTGCAGGGGTGGAAACCAACGAACTGCTGCGCCTGCACGGCATCGCAACCCTCGCCGCGGTAATCTTCCCTTCGTGCATGGGGCACGGGCACGGCGGTGAGGTCACTGAGAATGCGGCATTGTACACGGCAGGGTGAGTGCTCTGCAAGTTGTCGGGGTCCGCGGGGTAGTCGGCGACCACGCCGTGGTGCGGGGCCCTCGGCACGCGCCTGCGATAGAGGGCAATTGCATCTTTGAGCTGGTTCTTGCGATGGAGGGCTTCCATCGGGTCTGGCTTGATCTGAGCACCCTCGGGGTGCTTCGCAACCATGAACACGGCCCATATGTGAACGAGCGTCAGCTCGCTCGGGTTCACGAGGCCAATGTCGCCCATGCGGTTCAGGATCATGGACTGGGCGTGGTCCCACGGCGTAACCTGATCTCTGAATGCGTCCCACATGGTGCGGGTCATGTAGCGGTGAAAAAACAAGCAAGATTGAGTGTTCTGCCTCGCCGCCGTGCGCGGGGCGTGCGAGAGCCCCGACACCTTCATGTTCACAATCGTACCGATCTGGACGCGCTCTGGGCCGCCGAATTGGCTCGTGTTCAGGACGTTCAAGATGGCAGTGGCATCAGCCATGGTGATTGCCTGGATCGGCGCAAGCCTCGAGGGCAAGAGGTTCTTGGCTTGCTGCGCGTCGACCTGGCCCGTTGACTGCATCGTCGCCGCCACGTGTTCGCATGTCTCGCGAACAGCAGCCAGCGCCATGGCGCTTCCTGGCGCGATATAAGGGCAATCAGAATGACAACGCGAGAGGTGCCGAGATACGCGGCAGAGCCGCTCGCAAATGTTCGAGCCAACACAACTATGCTCCCCCTTCTTTCCACCCAAGCCTTCTCTCATGTCAGGGCCCAGCGGTGCGACCGCTAAGGCAATCGCCAGATCCTCCTGAGAAACCTGGTTCCCAACCGTCGTTTGATATGTTGGAATCCCACCAGCCCTTTGGGCGTGAGTGGTTTAGAGAGCTCTCTCTGTCCTCAACCCCCCTTCTTCCCCTTCGGGGAAGGGTTTACCCCTCCCCCTACCCCCTCCCCCTGGACCTGGATCGGTAGTCCCGAGCGTGGTCAGGTGAGTTTTTTTTTCGACGCCTGGGAGGGCCAAACAACAACGACCCTC